ACACACACTCCACACAAACAGCCTTCTCTCCCTCCTCCCCTGTGCTACCCACCCCGGTCAACACCCCACCCCCACACACTCCTACACCCCACCCCCTTTCTGCCAGAATAATCCCTCACCCCACCCCGGCACCCGGGTTCCACAACTGTGCAATGTGCAGCCACATTTTAACCTCATTGTGGGTGGTTGGTGGGTGCTCTGGTGTCCTTTGCTCCTTTTTTCCTATCAAACATATTATAGTATCCTCCTTATCTCTCTTGCGCCTTTTTGTGTTTGTTTCCCTCTCGTAACTGTGTAACTCCTCGGCACATTTATGGCCTCATTGTATTGTAAGTGCCGTAAAACTGTAACTAAAACTAGCCCCGTCGAAACAGCGTGCCTAGAAGGGATAAAAATAGTGGAGAAGCTACCTGAGCAAGTCTTCCAAAGAAAAAAAAATAATATCGACATTTACATCACAAACATAATATCATATTCCTACTGTATACTATTATTATGAGTGACATCAATAATTCATGAGAGATGTTAGTTCCGATTGTGTCACCGTGTACTTTTCTTTGCCTATCAACGAATCCCATTAATCTTCGTCAGAAAGGCCGATAGTTTGTCAGGTTCGGATGTAAAATTTTTAAAAAAATAAATAGAAAGAAGAAAGAAAAAAAAAAAAAGAAAAGAAAGGAATCTCGGTAGCTTTCTAAGAATGTAAGTGGAGTCCGTTTTTCCTGCATAAGAATTAACTATCTCTTACTCACAAAAGCGCCAGTTAATAGAAATGGGCTGGGTAAAAAAAACAAACTATCTCGTACAAACAAACAAACAAACAAACAAACAAAAACAAAAACTATCTCGCCAGAACTGAGCAGCGCGCTATGACAAACCAGCTGGGCCAGCTGTTTTATCGGGCGAGTTGTAGACGATGAAAAAAGAGAATTAATCCTTCCACACCAACATGACACAATTATAGAGTCGCCAGTTGTAGTTCTCGTTTTCATTGTTCACAAGTCCTCAACAAAACCGGAGGCCCGCTGGTTTGCTGTGTCGTGGTACTGGTTTTATAGTTGTGTGAGCTCATTCTGCTGTTTTGAGCTTCTTTGTTACAAAGCATGGTGTTATTATTATATTGTAAGAAGGCTAAAAGGTTATGTGAATAAAATTTAGATCTAGGTGTCTTTTACGCCACCATCGACCAAACTTAGATTATTTAATAAGAGGAGGGCACCTGTCCTTGTCGGCCACGGATGACCTGAGCTGAGAGGGATACAACATCTCGACAGAAAGACCAAGATACTGGATAACAATTCTGTCCACTCGGAAATCGAACTTAAGTCTCTTTCGTGCAACAGCGAAGCGCCTAACCTCTCCACCCCAGACACCGTTAAAGGCACTCGAGTTTTTATAGTTAGAGAGTAACTTCAACCACAAGGATACAGACAGAAGAAGGCTGATGTGTGTGTGTGTGTGTGTGTGTGTGTGTGTGTGTGTGTGTGTGTGTGTGT